AAGAAGTAAGGAAGAAGAAGTTGTTTAAAATAAGTTTAGCATATTCAGTTCTAAAAATATTATTAAATATGATACTATTTGTTTTCATATTCATATTAGTAGGTATTAATTCTAGTTTAATCTGAGAGTTAAGAATAGCAGCTATAAATGCTGTTTTGTCATAAATTTTATTAGCATATTTTTGAATTTTTTTAAATATTTGAGTTGTAGCCATTTTGAGAAATTCTGGTCTTGCTAAACCTTGAATACACGATAAAATATTATCGACAATATCATCGATTAGCAGAATTAAAATATCTAAGATTATATATATACTACTAGAAAGAACGTTAGTAGATTCATAAAATAGCTTAAGAAACTTTGTTGTGGCTTGAAGATTGGTTTCTTCTTGTGGAATAAGTTTAAATTTATCAAGATTTTTATTGTGTCTAATTATAGCTAAAATCGTTATAGGCATAGATATATAGATTGAAAGCATAAAATAAGTACTGTTCTAGCAGGTTAAACCATCTTGTAGAATTTTACAAGTTGCTTTACCTTCACTAACCAATTGTCTGGGTTTTTTAAAATCTTGAGCTATAAATAAAGAAAAAGAAATAACATTAACAAAATTATACACTTTTTAATTGATAATTTAATAGGTGATAAACTAGTTGTAATGACAAGATTTAAGATATGTACCAAATAGAGTTTGGGGCACAAGAGCATGAGCATACCTTATTGGGCATGCCACGAGGCGAATGGGCATGCATAAAACCATTACGTAATATAGATATATATCGCATATATTTTCTGAGACTTTAATATTTTTTAATTAAACTATATATATAAAACTGACTAATTATACTAATTTATTCAAGCATTATAGTAATGGCATTGTTCAATTATTTTATTTATCAAATATGAGTATTTTGCTAATCATGGCATGAAAAAAAAAAACTACAAAAATTCTGTGTTTTTGGGTTTTTGGTAGTTCACACTATTTTTAGTTAAATTTACTTGTAATGAATAATATCTCGCATAAACAGTGCTAAAAGAATGCCTTGTTCATAAAATTGCAAAAAAAATAAATAAATAAATTTTTAGAAACAAAAGAAAATACCCAAAATAAATCAAAGAATTATGTAAAATACTTATACTTAACAAAAACAATAGTCATGTGTGTTATTTTAGAAACTAAATAGTCTTAAATTAGTACCCAATAATGTCCGAAGTAATGCAATATTGTAACAATTATTCAGTTGGATATCTATTTTTTTTTTTTTTTTTTTTTTCTTAAACTTAGGCAGTTTTGTTAGTGTTTTATTAAAATCCTAAGTATTATTAATATACAATACCTATTTACTCTTAATTTGCAAGCCTGATATTACCCAGCTATCTTAAAGGTGCCCAAGTATAACCCACCGTACTAATCTGAAGTCTAAGATTAGAGGCTTATATTAAACTAGCCTAATTGCCACATCACAATGGCTTCTTCTCTCCTTTGTATTCTTTTGACTAACAAGGAATATAATAAGGACAATAAAAGGAGAGAGGGTTTAAAAAAAAAAGAACATATCAAGAAAATGAAGATATTAAAAAAAAAAACAAAAGTAATAAAAAAAAAAAAAGAGTAAGAAAAACAAAAAAGAAAAAAAACTACATGATGGACAAGAAGACTAGCTAACATAAAACTAAACTAAACTAAAAAGGACGAAAGACTAAAAGATAATAAAGACTCAACTAAAAAAACAAAAAAGAAGTAAGGAAGAAGAAGTTGTTTAAAATAAGTTTAGCATATTCAGTTCTAAAAATATTATTAAATATGATACTA